TTGGAGCTTCTAGGAGCCTGGGTGTGAGGCTCCGGATGTCCCGCGTGATCCTAAAGATTCCTGAGCCCCTTTCCAGCTCTGAATTCCCAAAATCCAGAGCTTTTGGAGTACAGGGATGATGCTCAGGGTGTCCCTGTTGTCATCCTGAACAATCCTGAGCCTGTTCCAGCTCAGAATTCCCAAACTTTGGAGCTTTTAGGAGCCTGGGTGTGAGGCTCCGGATGTCCCGCGTGATCCTAAAGATTCCTGAGCCCCTTTCCAGCTCTGAATTCCCAACGTTTGGGCCTTTTCCCGCCAGGAATTCGTGATCACCACCCTGAAGAGCCTCGGCTTCTCCACCCTCATGTGTGGGGATGGCACCAACGACGTGGGGGCCCTGAAACACGCGGATGTGGGTGAGAATTCCCGGGATTGCCCCAGATTCCCGGGGTTTTCCAGAGTGCCAGGGCTGGGAATCTGCCTGCCCGAATCGTTTGGAGGCAGGAATTCAGATACAGAGGGATTTCTCTGCTCCTGGAACCGCACACCAGCAGGAATTGGCTCCAAACGCTTTTTCCAGGAGGATTCTCCTGGGTTTTTTTCCCTGAAATTCCCTGATTCTCCCTACTTTTTTGTCCCTAAAATCCCTCCCAAATTCCCTGATTCTCCCTGCTTTTCCTCCCTAAATTGCCTCCCAAATTCCCTGATTCTTCCTGCAGTCCCTCCCAAATTGCCTGATTTTCCCTACTTTTTTCTCCCCAAATCCCTCCCAAATTCCCTACTCTCCTGGCTCCAGGTTGGGATCCTGCTGTGTGGAAAAACAAATGGCTTTACAGCCCTTTTTTCCCTGAAATCCCTCCTCAATTCCCTCATTCCCCCTACTTTTCCTCCCTGAAATCCCTCCTCAGTTTCCTGCTCCAGTTGCAGCCACCGACTGTGTGGAAAACCCAAGGGATTTACAGCCCTTTTTTCCCTGTTTTTCCCCCCTTTTCCAGGAGTGGCCCTGCTGGCAAACGCTCCCGAGAGGATTCCCGAGCGGAAGAAGCGGCCCCGGGACGGCACCGGGGATGGGAGAGCCGGAATTCCGGCGGCAGGAGTTGGGAATGTGAGGCCCACGTCCCGGGGAGCCAAGCACAGGGTCCTGTCCCAGCGGGAGGAGCAGCTGGCCATCCACAGGGTGCGCTTCCAGGGGGTTTATCCAGGCTTTTGAGTCCTCCTCTGGCACTCCTGGAGCTGGGATGTGATCCCAGCCATAAGTACAGGGAAAACAGGGAGCAGATCGTGGAATTCTGCTTGGGAGGCACCTTAAAACTCCTCAGCCCAGGCAGAGCCCAGACTGCCTTCCTTTTCCCTGTGGATTTGGGTGGGAAAGGAGCAGCTTTTCCCTCCATTCCCCCATCCATGGAGCAGGGACGGCATGGGACCGTTCTGGGAATTCACATCCCGCTTTTCCTGCCCCTCAGGAGCGGCTCAGCCAAGTGCTGAAGGACCTGGAGGAGGAACGAGCTCCGGTGGTGAAACTGGGAGACGCCAGCATTGCCGCCCCCTTCACCTCCAAACTCTCCTCCATCCAGTGCAGTGAGTGCCGGGAAAGGCCGGGAATAACCCGGGAATGAGCCGGGAGAGAGGGCTGGGATGGGGAGAAACAGCCCCAGCTCCAGGCTGGGAATAACCCAGGGGAGAGGGTTGGGATGGGGAGAAACAACCCCAAATCCAAGGCTTTGCCGCCATTTTGTGTGGGAATCCAAGCCTTTCCCATTTTGTGTGGGAATCCAGGCCTTTCCCCTTTTTTTTTGTGGTCCTGGCGTTCTTTCCTATTTTGTGTGGGAATCCAGGCCTTTGCCGCCATTTTGTGTGGGAACCTGAGGCCTTCCCGCCATTTTATGTGGGAATCCAGGCCTTCCCCGCCATTTTACGTGGACCAACCCCCACGTGGGACTTCTGGGCCGGGCTCGAATCCCCTCAGGCCCCCCCTTCAGGGCAGGACAGAGCCCCGAGCCCCGTTTTCCTTGTGTTTATTCCTGTTTTTCCCTGTTTTCCCCCAGTCTGCCACGTGATCAAGCAGGGCCGCTGCACGCTGGTGACGACGCTGCAGATGTTCAAGATCCTGGCGCTGAACGCCCTGATCCTGGCCTACAGCCAGAGCGTCCTCTACCTCGAGGGCGTCAAGTTCAGCGACTTCCAGGCCACGCTCCAGGGGCTGCTCCTGGCCGGCTGCTTCCTCTTCATCTCCCGCTCCAAGGTGAGCACCGGGAATTCCACGGGAATTCCACGGGAATTCCGCTCGGCCCGTGCCCGTCCCACCAGAACTGAAGGAAAAGGGCCTTCCTCCCCCCGAACATCCCGTTTTTTGTGGTAGATTCCCAGTCCCTGATCCTGGAGGGGTGGGAATTAGCGTTCCCTTGGATTTGAGATGCTCCTGAGGCCCAGTCCTTGCCTGGGGAAACCCCCTGTGATCCCGACTGACGGGAAAAGGTGGGAAAGGGCAGCGTAGGAAAAAATGGTTCCACTGAGGCTGTTCCTCGAAATCATGGAATTAGGGAATCCTGGAATGGTTTGGGCAGGAAGGGACCTTAAATCCCACCCCATGTTGCCTCCAGGAGCACATTCCATGGGCCAGGGTGCTCCCGAGGGGGAATTCCTGCAGCCACAGTGGAATTCCTGCAGCCCACGGACACCGCTGGGATCCGGAGCCTTCCCAAGGCATCCCAGCCCACCCCGCTCCCTGTTTTTTCCCCCCATTCCCAGCCTTTGAAGACCCTTTCCAAGGAGAGGCCCCTTCCCAACATCTTCAACCTGTACACGGTGCTGACGGTGCTGCTGCAGTTCCTGGTGCACTTCCTGAGCCTCGTCTTCCTGTACCGGGGGGCCCAGGCCCGGAGCGGGCCCAGGTGAGCCCCCCATTCCCAAAAAAACCCAGTCATCTCCAATTCCTGCCGGGAATTCCAGGCCCGGAGCGGGCCCAGGTGAGCCCCCCATTCCCAAAAAAACCCAGTCATCTCCAATTCCTGCTGGGAATTCCAGGCCCGGAGCGGGCCCAGGTGAGCCCCCAATTCCCAAAAAACCCCAGTTATCCCGAATTCCTGCTGGGCAGGAGAGGGGAGAGAGGGAGCAGTGGGAATGTGCTGCGGGTCTGGGAATGTTCCCCTGGAGAAGGATCCAGGGAGAGCTTCCAGCACATTCCAGGGGCTCCAGGAGAGCTGGAGAGGGACTCGGGACAAGGGATGGAGGGATGGGACACAGGGAATTCTGACCCCGGTGCTTCCCTGTTCCTCCAACACCTGCTGGGGACAACCTGCCTTGTTCCCCAGGAAAACTGGGATCAGGGGGGTTCCAGAGGTCATTCCTCATCCACACCCACGTTCCCGGGGTGTTTTCCCATTGCAGGGAGGAGGAATTCGTGGATCTGAGCAAGGAATTCGAGCCGAGCCTGGTGAACAGCACCGTGTACATCCTGTCCATGGCCATGCAGATGGTCACCTTCGCCATCAACTACAAGGTGCCTTGAGATCCAGGGAATATCCCTCGGGATCAGCCCTCGGGATCCGCCATCCCGCCCCATTCCCTGCTCAGGAATCCCAAAATCCCACCCTGGCCTGAAATCCTCAGCCCAGCCCTCCTTGAGCTCCCTCGGGAACCTTTTCCAGTGTCCCATTCCCTCCATTCCCTCCCATTCCCTCCCATTCCCTCCCATTCCCTTTCACCCCCCCCAGTCCCTCCCAGTCTCTCCCAGTCCCTCCCAGTGCCCCATCCCGAGCCATTCCCTGTTTCCCAGGGCCATCCCTTCATGGAGAGTCTCCAGGAGAACAAGCCCCTGCTCTGGAGCATCGTCCTGTCGGGAATGGCCATCGTGGGGCTCCTCTCGGGCTCCTCCCCGGAATTCAACGAGCAGTTCGGGCTCGTGGAGATCCCCACCGAGGTAACCCCGGAATTCCAGGGCCATTCCCGTGGGAAAACGGCCCCCGGGAGGGATTTGGATTGGGAATGTTGGTGGCGTTTGAAGGGATGGGACACGACGGGATCCCGGGGGAAAGGGAGGGGGTTTGGGAGCATCCCGTGGGATTTGGGCAGTTTGGGGAATTCCTGGGAATTTTCGGGAATTCCTGGGAAAGGGGGAATCGAAGGGGTGGTTCATCCAGGTGCCATCCCAAGGGTTGTGGAGAGGTGGGAATTTCATGGGATTCCACAGGACCGAGGGCAGGGGCTGCACCGGGATCAGGGGCAATTCCAAGCCCCTGGGATCCCAAGGGTCTGCCCATGGAATGGGGCGGGATGGGCTCCGAGGTCCCTTCCCATCCCAGGATTCCAGGGGGTGTTTCCCTGCTCCCTTCCCATCCCAGGATTCCAGGGGGTGTTTCCCTGCTCCCTTCCCATCCCAGGATTCCAGGGGGTGTTTCCCTGCTCCCTTCCCATCCCAGGATTCCAGGGGGTGTTTCCCTGCTCCCTTCCCATCCCAGGATTCCAGGGGGTGTTTCCCTGCTCCCTTCCCATCCCAGGATTCCAGGGGGTGTTTCCCTGCTCCCTTCCCATCCCAGGATTCCAGGGGGTGTTTCCCCTCTCCCTTCCCTCCCGTCCCATCCCGAATCCCGCTCTCTCCGCAGTTCAAGCTCGTGATCTCCCAGGTCCTCCTGGCCGACTTCCTGCTCGCCTTGTCCGTGGATCGGATCCTGCAGTTCCTGCTGGGGAGCTCCAAGCTCCAAGTGCCTTCCTGAGGGGAATTCCCGACTCCAGAGCCGTGTCCTGCCATCCCAACCCCGCCCCCGGCGTTCCCGGCACGGATTTTCCGCCCCCAAATCCACCTCTGGGAAAGGAAACGGCCGCAGTTCTGAGGTGGTTTTTTCTTTTTTCCAGGATGTGCCGGGAAATTTCTTTGGGGGGGGTGTGGGTGTGGGGGAAGTTTTCAAGGAAAATCCTCGAATTTTCATGGAAAAGCCACAAATTTTCAAGGAAATACCTTAAATTTTCATGGAAAAATGCTCAAATTTTCAAGGAGACCCCTCAAATTTAAAGGAAAACCCTCAAATCTCGAGGAAACATTTGGGGAATTTGGGAACTAAAAACTCAAATTGAGGTGTTTTGAAAAGTGTTTGGGGCTGGAAAATTCCATGGAAAACCTGGGAATAAATGAGCCCTGAAGCGAGGTGGGAAAGGACATCCCAAAATCCTGGGAACACCTTGGAAAAGGTGATCTGGGGGCTAAAAGTCCGGGATAAACCCTCCCCAGGTGCCGCCCTGTGTTCCCAATCCGTGCCAGGAATCCTTGGATAGGTAGAGAAACACGTTTATTTCCTCCTGGAGCAGCTCCAAGGCTCTGGAATTCCCTTTGGAATGTCGCCTGGAAGGGCTCAGGTGCCCGGGGGCAGCCGAGCTGCCGCCGTCCTTTCCACCACAAATCCATAATTGTACTGGGAACACAGGAGAAAAGGGGAATGAAAACCCTTGGGAATGCACCCAGCGTTCCCGGTATTCCCAGAATTCCAGGGGTGTCACCTCCTGCTCGATGTCGGCGAGGGATTTCACCGTCAGGTCGGCCAGAATTGGCTAAAAGGAGGGGGGGAAATGTTAATTAATGGGATTAAAAGAGGGGAATTATTATTTAGGGGGGTTGATTATTAATTTGGGGTAATTGATTATTAATTAGGGGGTAATCAATGAAATGAGGGCTCGATGGAGACTCACAGCGGGGCCAGAGCTGAGCTTGGGCTCGAATTTGGGGTGGAGGGCGAAGGGAACTCCGTCCATGGCTGGGAAAAAAGAGGGAAAAGAACCTTTCCAAATGTCCAAAACACACAATTCATGGAAAAGGGGAGGGAAGGGGACACTTGGCATCGAGAGTGACGTCCAAATTCCAGGAAAAAAATTCCAGGGAAAGCGAAAAATCCTTCAGGGAGGGAGGAATCCTCCAGGAAGGGTTTTCCTGAAGGCTTGGGAAGGTGGTTTTTCCCAAAATCCAGCCCCATCCCAGCCTTCCCCAGGCACAGGGAGGGAGTTGGGAGCCAATTCCCAGGCTCCTCTTTAAGGGATCGTTCCTTAATCCCGGAATTCCGAGGAAAAGCTTTACCTGAGAGGCCGTAGATCCCAGAGGGGTCGGGCAGGGATTCGGGATGGGAGCGGCCTTTGGTGCTGGATGGAGGGGGGGGCGGCCTGGGGGCGGTGATGAGAGTCATTAATTAGGGTCATTAATTAGGGAATTAATTGCTCGGGAAGGAGCTCCAGCCCTTGGGAATGGACACTGGGATTGATTCCCAGTCCTGGGATGGGGCAGATGGGGGCACCTGGGGGGCTGGAACTGGGATGCACTGGGAGTAACTGGGGCTGGAATTGGGATGTACTGGGAGTAACTGGGGCTGGAATTGGGATGTACTGGGAGTAA